CAATCAGACAATGTCGGTTGGCGACCCCCAGGGGGAGAGCCTTCTCTGTTGGAGCCCCCACCCTCTGGAACGAGCTGCCCCCAGAGATCCGGTTGATTCCGGATCTCCCCTCCTTCCGCCGCGCCCTCAAGACATGGTTGTTTCAGCAGGCAGGACTGGCCTAGGGGTATTTTAAACTGGTTTTTAATTAATTTTAAAACATGAATAAGCCTATTGTATATATCTTTTAATTGATTTTAAATTTTGTAGATTTGTATTGATTGTTCTGTTTTTAATTGGCTGTAAGCCGCCCTGAGTCCATTGGGAGAAGGGCGGGATATAAATGCAATAAAACTTCAAACTTCAAACTACCCTTGATAACATCTTAGGCCATAAAACGGTTACACGTTTACCCACGTATAAAGTCTGATGAGTAACTGCCAGAATTTTCCATCCGGGTTCACTTAATGCTCCTTCGAGTGTTCTACTAACGACATTCACTTACTTCGGTCCTTATTTTTCTCCACTGGGGAAGTCTGCGGGTTGTTTGTGTCGCTGGTGCCAGAATTCCTTCGTCTTCTGCCTTTAATCAATACACTACGGTACACCTTAAAAAAAAAAAAAAGGCAAAATTATTTCAGAAGAGAAAATGGCCTGGCTGCATAAAAAAATAAGCTTTCAACGGGAGGGTTATTCTTGTGATACTTTTCAAAGACAACGCCAAGCCCCGCTAGATGGAACCCCTGCAGGTCTAAAAGTGGCATCAATCTGAGATGCATTTCATGGTCATTTTACGCAAGGCTCTTTTTTTCACGAGGTAGGATTGGACATATCCGACCACCTTTTAACAGAATTGGGTGCTAATCATGAACACTATGCCAATATCTGGATTTTTCTGCCTTAAGGCTGAAAGTACTTGGACTGAAGAAGAAAAGAACATCCATAAAACCATTGGATCCAGCATGAATACAGGAACAAAGAAACCGTTCTCACGTGGCTTTTGGCCTGTGGCTGCATTCGGTAGTGGCGCATGATGTTCTGAAACGACGTGTCTTCCTTTGTAACCTAGAAGGCAAAGGCATCCATTAGCTGACACGTTAGCACCTTAATTAGCGCTAGGTATTTTTTACCTGACAAGTTAAATGGAATTTGTGAAGCTTTACCTTGGCAATGACATAAATGGCACACATTAACAGCTGATCTAGATGTCGGTCCATCATGAGCTCCGCGCATTGTACCAGTGAAAATTCAAAGCAGGTCCAGATTTTCTTCCTCAGCTCATCGGAAATATCCAGTCTGATGCAGAGATCCCGCAGACGAACGCTTGCTAAATAAAATACCTGTTGAAGCCAGGAAATACTGTCAGAGCCAGAAGACATAACTATTTATTCACAGAACGATGTTTTTCACCTCGGAATGGAAAAGCAAATTATGAAAATGCTTCACAGAAGTTCAGCATTCAGGAAGAGACAGGGAGATGAGTTTTCCTGGGAAAACATCATAAAGTGACATATCCTTTGATTTATTTTTATCAGCACAAGAGACTGTTTGCAGCTCAGATTGAACTGTGGGGTCCTTGGTGCTCTCACAGCTTGTTTTCTTGCAGATGTTTCATGACCCAACTAGGTAACATCATCAGGGCTAGAAGGGAATTGAGGTTTGTGGAGGAGGAGGAGGAGGAGGAGGAGGACTGTGGGGTCCTTCATGCTTTCCAAGTTTGGTTTTTTCCTTGCAGACGTTTCATGACCAAACTAGGTAACATCATCAGGGCTAGAAGAGAGGGGGGCATGCTCTCATTTTATATACTAATGGCTCGCCCTGTCAATGTTGGTGGGCATGGTCTTGGTGGTTCCTTGACTGGGCTTATGGTATTTATTTTTATTTATTATTTTACTACCTCGACTTTATTGTTTTTCATAAATAACTCAAGGCGGCAAACCTACTTAATACTCCTTCCTCCTCCTCCTCCTTTCCCCACAGCAACAACCCTGTGAGGAGGGTTGGACCAAGAGTGAGTAGCCCAAAGCCACCCAGCTGGCTTTTATGCCTAAGGCAGAACTAGAACTCACCATCTCCTGGTTTTCTAGGCCAGCACCTGAACCACTTGCGCAGGGTAGGCAACCTTGGCTCTTTTATGACTCGTGGACTTCAACTCCCAGAATTCCTGAGCCCGAATTCTGGGAGTTGAAGTCCACGAGTCATAAAAGAGCCCAGGTTGCCTACCCCTGTACTAGAGCAAACTGTCTCTTTCTCAGGGTCGACGTACCTTTCTAAAGAAGAGGGAGAGAGAGCTGGCTTTTCGGCACCTGCTGGCCCCGCTGCTGATCTGCTGCTTTTGTCGCCGTTCTCCAGGATGGGCAGCTGGCTGGAGCTGGCCTTGCAACTGAAGGGTGGCGCCAGTCATCTGCTGAGAGCCCAGCGTGCCAGCCAGGGCCTGCGCACTGAGAGGCGGAATGGAGCTAGCCAGAGATTGAGCCTGTCCACCCACGACCTGGACCGGAATGAACGTGATGCTGCCATTTTCATTGGCAATGCCTGTCGAAGGAAGTGGTTAATATCACCAAACTCAAGATAATTCTTCTCCCCTGTCTCATAGCTGACAAAGTGAGAAAGAGCCTGTGGCCTAGAGGTTAATACATCTGCTTAACATGCAGACAGCCCAGGTTCGAATCTCAGAAGGGTATGTCTGGTTGAAAAGAACTAAAAAGTTCGAAATGGCTATTCCAGTTCTCCCTTAATTCTTTGTTGGGGCACACACACACACACACACACACACACACACACACACAAGGAATAGATTAGCTGATTGGTCTTTCCCCCCTTTGGACAGGAAAACTCCCCAATTTTACATCGGAAGACTATAGATCAGTGATGGCGAACCTTTCAGAGACCGAGTGCCCCAAAACTGCCGCCCGACCCCCGTCCCCACTCCGCCCTGCCTGCTGGGCCACCCACCTCTACAGCCCGCTACAGCCCGCCAGGCAGCCCAGCAGCGCCATGGCAGCCACGCCCTCCACCCATGCCCCGCAGCATCAGGGCGCAAGGGCAGAGTCTTGTCCCCGCTGCTCAGCTACCATGTCCTTGGCTTCGCTGCTTCGTGTGGGCCGCGCCCAGGGGCAACTCTCCGGGGGGGCTGCTGGTGAGGAGGGGGCCATGGGGGAAGAGGCGGGGCTGGGGAGACGGTGCGTGTGCCCACAGAGAGGGCTCCGAGTGCTGCCTCTGGCACCCGTGCCATAGGTTCGCCACCACTGCTATAGATGTTATGGGGGTCCTCCCTCAGCCACCAGCTCTACCGTGGTTTAAGGAGCCGTGCATCGCTCCAGCTCACCTTGCACCGGTATGGTAACCGTCTGCCCGTTATTGGCGGTCACGGTGGCGGTTGCCACGGTTACCAAAGTCTGCCCAGGCACCGGAGTGACAGGGATGGTTTCGGAGGAGACGTTCTGTACAGGCACGGTGCTGATCACAGGCGGCTGGCAGAGCCTCACCGGGGTCCGGGGGGCCTCCCCGGAGGTGTCACTATCGACAAACAGCCTCCTCCTAGTAGGATTGCCGGTGGGGGAGCCGTACCGTTCGTGGAGGGTGGCTGGAGAAAAGGAAACGCCTGCAGAGGTTCCCAAAGGAAAGGCGGTGGGGGGGTGGGGTGGGGAGAGAAAAGCAGATGTGATGTTAGCTGGGAAAAGGAATGAAGGGCGATCTCGAAGGGCTCAAATCCACTGAGCTCTTCAGACGTGCCGGAGTCAAGAAGCAGAGCAGAGCAAGTGTGCGACAGTTCACGATTTGAAAGGGCTGGAAACCTCCTATCTGTGGGCCCCGTGCTGGATGATTGTGTGACTGAATAGGAAGATTAAGCGATTGAATAAGAAGATTAAAGAAAGGAAGGATACCTGGACGTGTCACGGGAGGGAGAGAGTAAATGGCAGTTCCCTCTTGAGACTTAGGGCCACTTTCTAACTTCTTTATTCTTTATCTTTATTCTTTATTGACCAAGTGCAGTTGGACACACAAGAAATCTGTTTCCGGTGCATAAGCTCTCAAATAGTGATAATCATGATGATTAGCTCAGAGGCCACAACGTCGAAAAGATGTCTTGTGTGTTTTTTTACGAGTAGACCTCGCTTAATAATCGCTTGTTTTACAACTATTCAAATTCAAATTACACTGACCACGGAACAGCTACTCCCCCCCTTTCTCCCCCCCCAAAGGTGGTCCTATGGCTGCATGTCAAGGAAGTCAGTTTAGGACCTGTTGTGGCATTCTTGCAGTCGTATAACTGCGACTTGTGGTGTTTTTCTGCCGATTTCTGGCAAAAAAAAATATATGAATGGGTTAGGCTCAGGGGTAGACAACCTTGGCTCTTTTATGACTCGTGGACTTCAACTCCCAGAATTCCTGAGCCAGCCATACTGAGGGGAAAGGGAGAGGTTTCCATGCTGAGCCATGTTGGCTCAGGAATTCTGGGAGTTGACGTCCACGAGTCAAAAAAGAGCCAAGGTTGCCTACCCCTGGGTTAGCTTAACAACCACTGTGAAAAAAGCCCCCAAATTACTTCTGGTTATGTAAGGTTAGGGTTAGGGCCATGTAGGTGCCTCAATTTACAACTGTGAGGATTCACAACGGTAATCTGGGGCTCAGCTGTTGTAAGCCTACCTGTATTAATAATGTACATTTTCTCAAAACAGGATAATTTTAAAGATAAGCTTGTAATGTTTTTTACACACTGGGATTCAACCTTCAGAATTTGCCATTTCTGCCTCTACCCCTTATCTTCTGTAAATCTGGAAAGGCTTACCTTTTCCCTGCGTTCCACTTTCAGCACGAACTTCACTTAATCTCCTCGGAGTTAAAGGGGAACCAGCCATGCTGTTCCCATTTGATCTTTCAAAATACTGAGGTGGCATTACCTGAAAGCATAAAATATTTCATCACGGTATTATAGGTATTGAGATATTGCTGCCTAAGAATTCCCACTGCTCCAAGTCTTTTGGACCTTTCTACTTTTTTAAAAAAATAAATAAATCTTTGTACTAGTGACAAAGCAGCAAAAGAACAGAACCCTTGTCTTTTACCTCTTCACAGGTAGGAACTTTATTTTCATTTTCTTTTATTTTGCCCCAGAGTGGAGATTCCATTTTCCATGCCAGACTCTCCAAAATCTGTTCTTCAATGTGATTGAGATGCTTCACCACCTCCCTGGAAAGGCCCTCTTCTGCTCTGATTAGGATCTCTATAACCTGATCAATATATCAAATCAAATCTTTGTTATGGACACGGATCAGCATGAGGATGTCCGTCAATTAAAAAGCAGAGAAAATACATCAATCCAAGAGCCATCATTAGAAAAAGCTCAAAGGTAACAGTGCATAGAAAGAACAAAGTGAATGTAGAAGGAAAGGCCTGATCATTAGATGGTTATAGGGCAACATAAAGGTTAATATTTATTTTCATTTTATTTATTTATACCCTGCCTGTATTATTTTAACAAATAACTCAAGGCAGAGAACATATCCAACACACCTTCCTCGTCCTATTTTCCCCACAACAACAATCCTGCGAGGTGGGTTGGGCTTAATGTGTCTGGCTCAAAGTCACCCAGCTGGCTTTCATGGCTAAGGTGGGACTAGAACTCACCGTCTCCTACTTTCTAGCCTGGTGCCTTAACCATCAGACCAAACTGGCTCTCTAGCAGATGGCAGACTAAATCTATCACAGTACAGAGCGCTGTAGTATGACCACCTAGATCGGGGTAGGCAACCTCGGCTCTTTTATGACTCATGGACTTCA